ACTTATGAGCTAAAATCCATGGTACTCGTTCAAAACGTCTAAAACAGTTTGATTCTGTAACTATAGGGGTCTCCAGACGTTTTAGTAAAAAGGGCCACTTTAATCCATCATGATTCATTCAGGGGCCGACAGCACGGATTGACTGGATTTGGGCCGTTCCGAGCTTTAAAATGAAGTATGACATGTCTATATTGATTCACATTTAACAGAGCTTGAGTTGGCTGAATGACAAACGTTTACTCACCCACACATTAAGATCATACAATCAAAAAGAACAACAAAGTATGATGCACCTATGTTGGGAGAGCTGAAGTTGGATGGATGATACTGTGAAGAATGTGAAGAGCTCAAGGACAACTTTGGGTTAGCACAGCACGGGGCCACATAAATGTCTGTGTTTCATGGTTTTCACAATCATTTACCTTGAACACTTTTTTTGTGTGTGAAAAAGACAGGACCAGGCCTCGCTCGGCCAATCAGCGCTCAGTACGTAAAAGATATATACTTATTATTATAGTTTAAGACTGTTTCTATTGGAACAAATGTATTTATGAAGCAAAAAAACTCCAGATTTATTAAGTAAATCCATCCAATTCATTTTAAAACCAGTTTATTTATGTGATTGTGTCTTGTTTTGTGCAGCCATTTGAGTTACCTTGTGTATGAAACGTGCTACAAATAACATGCCTTGCCTTAACATATTGTCTCAGTTTATTAGTGCTGCCAATGAAGTTGTGTATTTAACATAAGTAAAAATCACATGTACTATGTGTTTAAAACAGGTCACAGGCTTGGATAGACAATGCTAGCCGTCTTGTGAGTGTATAGTCTGGGTCAAATACTGAAAGGTTATGAGATATTAATTATTCATTTGTCAGTTTTTTTGAAAAGCCAGGTTTATTTTAGTACCATACATATAAAGTTTCACCTCTTATTGACCAAAACATTTCAAATGTAGTGCTAATAACAAAAAAACACTAATTGAAGATTGCAACTAGAGGAATACAACTTTTTGACACATTTTAAAAACAGAGAAACATTGTATTACAAAGGTTCTCTTCAAATGCCAGTCCACCATTTGATCAACAGGGAATTCCTTTGTCAACCAAGAATTTGTCCTGTCACTACAGCCCAACTATTCAATAATGTGAGCGTACAGAGTTTACCTTATAAAACTTTTCTTGGGATTCTGCGGTTTGAGCGACTGAGCGCGGAACAAAAAGAATAGCAGAGGCCAAGCGACCTGTAGCTCTGCCAAAAAAAGGCCACACTTTTGGTTATACTGAAGAAGATGACATAGTCTCCATCAACTGCTGACACAACAGCTCAAACTAGGGGTAAGGTGAGTTGTGTTGTTGTCACTCTCGGAACAGGGCCTTTCTGAATGGAGTTTTGCATGTTCTACCCGTGTCTTGTTGTAGAAATAGGTTAGCATAGGTTTCTTATGAGTAGCATAGGTTTCTTATGAGTGCTCTGGTTTCGTTTACCAATAAAAATATGCTCAATAAGTGAAATCCTGTAGCTCCGGCAGTCCTGACCAAGCCGAGCATCAATATCTGGAGTTGGGTTCCTGGGCGCTGTAATGCAGCACGCGGAAATTAAATTTGATAGATTACCTGCTGCAGCCTATCCCATCCAGGCCGGCCTTCTTACCTTCGGCCTATCGCACAGCAAAGCCTATTCCCTGCCGACCTATGCCAGCCAAGCCAGCAGTTTAAAAGCGGAAACTCTCATACGACAGCCTTTTTCAAGCCTCACAACCACCACCTCCCCTCCTTCTCATTTTCTTTTTTGACCATGCGCTCTCTCCCCTGCTTACCAGAATGCCACCACCAGTACCTAGGTCCCGGGGGATCGTAAGCGCGCACAATCAAGGAGCTTCGCAGACCAAGTGCCACTACCGGGGCCTTGGGTGCCAAACAATCAATGAATAAAACTTTCAAATTAACTTTGTGTCTCGTAGTCCCTCCAGATTGAATTACGGCCACCACTGCTCCTGACATAAGCCTTAGTGGCATCAGGATGAGTCAAATGCAGATGACCAATTTGCTACTGCTGGTGCCAAGAGTGAGAACTAAACATGGGGAGGCTGCAGTTCAGATTTATGCAGGTAAAATTGTCTCCCTGAAAATGTGAGACAGGCTTTTCCTCTGGCAATGTTCAAATCCAGGTTAAAGATGCAGTTCTGTTCAGCTAGTTCAAGGTATCTTTATTAACCCCGAGGGGCAATTTGGTTGCAGCAGCAGAAAGGTACACAAATACACAAAGAAACAAAGATATACAGCAGAATTACAGTGATCTGTTTAAAATACCTGTGCAAACAACTGAGGTATGACTTGTGTGTGACTTGTCTTATACAAATAAACTTGCCTTGCCTGGCCTATGCACAGTAGCAAGTACTTTTTATTTGTGATTTTAGGGAAAAGACTGAAGGATGGACTTTTTTTCCTATTTGTCTTTTAACAAACATTTGGATGGGACACTGTGCATTCATGAACACAAATGAACTAAAGTGGATAATCGGAATAGTTCCTTTAGCTTATTCCGTTGTCGCACTCACAAACACACACTCACAAACACACACTCACACACACCCTGAACTATTGTGCATGGTTTTAATGGTACGGGATACCAGTGCACCCAGGGGAAAAGTAGCATGCGTAAACTTATGCAAACAAGGGGAGAACGTGCAAACTCCACACAGACAGACCCTGCATTAAATAACAAATAATTTTCAAATTTTGATTTCAACACACTCTTAAAAGTCAAAATAGACGCCTTTGAGGGCTGAGTTTGACCAGCAGGCCTCGCTTTGGGCATCCCTGGACTAAACATTATAAAAACAGAGTAATTTTAGAACATGAGCCCTGTGAACTACTATCAGTAGCAGGTGCTGGAGTTCGTCTCTCTATCGTGTTGAGCAGAATCAGAGTCTTTCCTTCGCCCACTGTTACTAAGGGAATAGAAGAGCATACAAACACACTCTATCTATGGTCCTGTTTCCGCCTCTCTACGACATCCATTCATTCAAACAGAGTTGCTTTCTCTCACAGCAGCACTGTCTTGTCAGTTTCACCTCCCACGCTCTGATTCCATTGACACGCCTACCTCCATGTTCGACTGTGATGTCTATACTAGCCCCCATTCTGAAACTAGACTCAATTGTAAGGCCCCGAGAGGCTGTACCCGGGGCCAATTCACAGACAGTTAGAGCTCAAGTCTTCTCACTTCTGGTAATCCTGCGTTTCAACGACGTGTAGTAAATATGCCACGCTCCAGAGCAGTAAGGCTTTCACAGAATGTGGGGGGAGAACAAAAAATCCAGATGTGGAATGCGCCATCAACGCTCAGCTTCATACATTCTGACTATTTATAGACCCGGCCTCTGTTTTGAGGACATCACGCTTCTCAGGTGTCCGCTGTTACCAGAAGCTTTTCATCTTCTGTCACAGGAGAAAAGCAAAGCACCCCTCGACATTCTCCACAATGTTAGTACAAGTGTAAATCTGCAACTTCAAAAAATAATAAAACGCTTTTTCAGAAAACTAATTTATGCAACATCAGAGGTCATATGCTTTCTAGACATGAACCTTGACTTTAAAGCTGGAGTACCTAACTTTGAATCCATGACATAAACTTGTAGTACTATCACTAGTTTTCACATACATGTACTTTTAGCCTCATCTTTCAAAACTAAAAAAGGGCAAACCAGATCTTTCAGCCATTTCACTTTTCTTTCTAATTGGCTATAGACAGACACAATTATTTCTAATTAGATAAGAAAAGACATCATTTGGGAATAAAATGTTACTCAATCCAGACTCTTTCTGTTGACAACCAACAAACAAACCAAATGTGTTTATTAGAAAAAAGGAAAGTACTCAATCTTGAATTCAAATAATCAGTAAATATAAAAGCATCTGAACTTCAAAAGACCCTGTCCTGCTCTCTTAGATTTGCACAAGACAGTACATAACCAAACCAAAAAAACAATTTGTTTTAAAAATAGATGCATACCTGATTTTCAAACTGCAAAAGGTGAAACTACATAATGAAACAGCGTTACCTAATCCCTGCTGTTACAAACTCTTCAAATAGGGATAACCCTCCTCCCTCAGCCAATCAGCTCTCTGCCCAAGATAATCTAATGTAGTGGTCAGATTTTTCAGGTTTAATTCTAAAATGCTCATTTGGTGGAGAAAAACAAATTGTATTATATAAAATGCCAAAGTTAGAAATCCCAGCTTTAGTACTAAAAATTGAAAAAACAAAAACTAGAATGTTTTTGTTCAGTATAAGCTAATGAAGAGTGCAATTACATTTGTTATTTATTTATTTCAACTCATAGACCATATATAGATGTGCCTTTATCATAATCAGATTTTTGAAGTACTGGTAGTTCAAATCAACATGTCAAAGCAAGAGGAATTTGAACAGCAATGTACTAGAAAGAATAAATGAATCACTTTTCAAGCATGCGGCCCTCTAGTGGTCGTAAACAAAACAACAACTGACTAAAACTTTCCCCAGAAACTTCAAGCATTATAAATAAATCCATTTGTATTTTCGTTTCTAAACTATATTCTTTTGTTTTATTTTGTAACAAATTAGCCCACACTATATAGATGATCATGGCGTGATTAAAAATATAGTGGACAAAATCAATATAGTAGGATATATCACACACATATCGCACATATATTAGAAATTATTCAAAATATATATTAGAAAAGGGCTGCCCTTGATCAAGAACGTTTATGTAAAAGCCAGATCTATTCCAGTGCTGTACAAATAAAGTTTCACGACTTTTTGAGCAAATTGTTTCACATTTTCTGCCATAAAAAAACATTTAGAGGAATACAACACAAAGATTTATGTTTTTTTGCAAATAAATTGTTAATTACTGTTAATAATATCATTAATTGACTACATTTGACCGGAAGCGACCAGTTGGCAGGGGTGCGTGGATGAAATATTTGTCTGGTGATGAGGACTTGGCGATGGAATGCATTTTTCCCTTGTGTGCGCGTCTCGGATATTACTCGGAGACTGGCTCTGAGGTAAGACAGCGACCCGCCCCTTTGTGCGCGCACTGCACAGCCATTGGTTCACGCACACACTCAGGAATGCCCTCAAAACGTTTAAATAGCACATGTATGAGCGGGACAGAGAGCAGTGGAATAAGCACTAGAATAAGCTGATAACGAAGAGGAGACGAGATACTACTACTACTACACCACTATAACAGGATTTTGCACTTTGGTGGTTTTTTGGTTTCTTCTCGCACACTCTTGAGAAGCATTTGCATTTATACAACAGGTGAGCACTGTTTTTTCCATTCATATACTTTAAAAGCGTTGTAGAGGAATGACACTGTATGTTTATGTGTTATAGTTTCAATAGAGATTTGACAATGATGCTGCGTGGCATCTTTCTGCTTTTGATGCTTTGGAGTGGAGAGGGGGCGAGATTAGCAGGTGAGGATGGACTGTGTGTAGATGCTTTTATTGTTCTGCGTTGGAGATGATCATGAAGATATTAATATTGGATTTGGTTTTCTCACAGAGTCCCGTGATGACAATAGCGTGTATGACTTGTTTGATATGGTAAGAGTAAGCAAAAAGCAAAACGGAGTGAGTATGGTGAAAGGCGCAGATCCATACAGCCCTGCGTACAAAGTTCTCAACCCAGACTTGATCCCCGCGGTGCCAGACAACGCGTTCAGGGATCTTCTCGACTCCATTCAAACCGAGAGGGGGTTCTTACTCTTGGTCAACCTCAAGCAGATCAAGAAGTCCCGGGGAAGCCTGCTCACTGTGGAGAAGAGGGACGGTTCTGGGCCAGTCTTTGAAATAGTGTCCAATGGAAGAGCCAACACTTTGGACTTGGTTTATTCCACCGCGCGTCAGCAGCAGGTCGTGTCCATAGAGGATGCGGATCTGGCCACGGGACACTGGAAGAACATCACGCTGTTTGTGCAAGACGACCGGGCTCAGCTCTTCGTGGGCTGCGAGGAGATAAATGTGGCAGAGATGGACGTGCCCATCCAGAGCGTGCTGAGCCAAGAGGTGGCAGACATAGCCCGGCTCAGGATCGGGAAGGGAGCAGTGAAGGATAGGTTTATGGTGAGTTTTTTCATTATAGTTTTTTTTTTTACTATCACTTTGCGTAGATATTAAGCCGTTAATTTATTACTGCTCCTTTATTGCACTTGCTAAAATTTGTTTGTGATTTTTAGGGAGTGCTCCAGAATGTGCGGTTTGTCTTTGGCACCTCTCTTGATACAGTTCTAAGAAACAAGGGATGTCAGAGTGGAGGTATTTACACAATAACCATTTATATACACACACAATATTAAATTAAATGTGTTGTCAGTGTGCTCATGAAGCTGTCTTGTCCTGCAGCTACTTTAACAGATGTCATGACCCTGGACAACCCAATGAATGGCTCCAGCCCTGCCATCCGCACTGACTTCACGGGCCACAAAGCCAAAGGTGAGAGTGTACCCCTGCAGAGCCTGCTGTGCACAGTCCTGCTGAGCTCTGCTAATGTGCCCTTCTTATGTGTCTCCTCAGATGTGCAGTCAGTCTGCGGCTTGTCGTGCGATGACATCAGCAGCATGTTCAAGGAGCTCAAAGGCCTCGGTGTGGTCGTCAAACAGTTATCCAATGAGCTGCGGAAAGTGGTAAGCTCCAGGCCCTCCAGGCTCTGCTCTTTGTCACTATACTCCGCGGTTACCTTCTCACAGAGCCACTTGTCGCTTTAATGGAGAGGGCCTGCCAAGCTCCTAATGAGCGCCATGTGAATATACAAATATGTTTGGCTGAGTGCTGCGTTCGCACTGCTTCGCTAGAGTCAAGCAATGTCTTCTCACAATGTTGCTCTGTGGTTCATTTTGTATTGGAACATTGGCAAAGTGAAAGTTTCCATTCTGCACAGTCTACAATCATAACCCCCTTTACTTTTCACTTTTCCCTCCAGTCTGAGGACAGCACTTCCCTGAAAACTATCCTGGATATCCACAGTGGAGTTTGCATTCACAACGGCATCGTGCACAAGGACAAAGATGAGTGGACAGTGGACGGCTGTACTGAGTGCACCTGTCAGGTACGACTCACACAGAAACACACACACATACGCACACACATATACAGTGCAGTCTCTGGTGTGATTGTCTCCTGTCAACACCAGCGCACAGCAGCAGGAGGGCTTTAGGCTCATAATCTCCTGTCTGTGTCATTAGGTGGGTGATGAGTGAGTGGCAGTCAGGCTTAGTTGTTGTAACAACAGTCAGAGTGTCATGTCTCTGATAAAAATCTGCCCCATTGAGAAAAGCAGCAATTAGCCTTGGACCAGTGCCAGATATCTGTGTCAAGTCAGTGAGCCATTAAGTCATTATCTTGTAATAATGTGAGTGCTCTTTACAGAACTCTGCCACTATCTGCCGCAAGATCTCCTGCCCCCTCATCCCATGTGCCAACGCTACTGTGCCCGATGGTGAATGCTGCCCTCGCTGTGGGACTGGTAAGTTTCTTTTCACACATTAGAATAATGAGACACTGCACTAATTGGGATTTGTAAGCCTATAATTATATATTCATTACAGCCAATGATTACCCTGAAGACGGCTGGTCTCCTTGGTCTGACTGGACGCACTGTTCAGTGACCTGTGGCCGTGGCATCCAGCAGCGTGGCCGCTCCTGTGACCGCATCAACAGTAACTGTGATGGCACCTCTGTGCAGACCCGTGACTGCTACCTGCAGGAGTGTGATAAACGCTGTGAGTGAAATCTCAAAGACACAAGGAATGATAAATGTGTTTGACCATGCTAACTGACCTGTGTATGTTTCTCACAGTCAAACAGGATGGCGGCTGGAGCCATTGGTCACCCTGGTCTTCCTGCTCGGTGACCTGTGGAGAGGGAGTCATAACCCGCATCCGCCTGTGCAACTCCCCCACACCGCAGATGGGAGGCAGGGACTGTCAGGGAGACGGCCGACAAACTGAAGTCTGCCATAAATCACACTGTCCGAGTAGGTTTACTTTCATTACTGTTGTACATTACATTACAGGGACATTATATTGTGCATCTGCTAAGACATATATTTCATAATTATTTCTCTCCATAGTTAATGGCAACTGGGGCCCCTGGTCACCATGGAATAGCTGCACTGTTACCTGCGGTGGAGGAATCCAGGCTCGGAAACGCCTGTGCTCTGACCCTCCTCCCAAATTTGGAGGAAAGGACTGTGTTGGTGACGCAACTCTAACTCAGCTCTGCAACAAACAAGACTGTCCTATTGGTATGTATTGGATATGGATTTTCCACGGCAAACTCAATATTAGTTTGTCAATAACTGAGTTTTATTTTACAGATGGCTGTTTGTCCAACCCATGCTTCCCCGGAGCTAAGTGCACTAGCTCCCCTGATGGCTCATTCAAATGTGGCAAGTGTCCTCTTGGCTACAGTGGAAACGGTATGACCTGTAAGGACATAGACGAGTGTAAGGAGGTCCCTGATGCCTGCCATACTCACAATGGAGTCCACCGCTGTGAGAACACCGAGCCCGGCTACAACTGTCTCCCCTGCCCCTCCCGCTTCTCCGGCCCACAACCTTTCGGAAGAGGAGTCGAGCAGGCCACGGCTAAAAAACAGGTTTGAAATACTGCTCTTCATTCAGTCACTGGTGCACCGCGAGCAAGTTTTAATTCCATATCATTTTCCTTAGGTTTGCACACCCCGTAACCCGTGCAAAGACGGTAGCCATGATTGCAACAAAAATGCAAACTGTATCTACTTGGGCATCTTCTCCGAGTCCATGTATCGGTGTCAGTGCAAGCCGGGCTACGCTGGGAACGGACACATCTGCGGCGAGGACAGTGACCTGGATGGATGGCCCAACACTAATCTTCCATGTGTGGCCAACGCGACCTACCACTGCACTAAGGTAACCAGAACTCACACAATCTTAGTCCCAAGATTTACAGAGCATACAATGAGGATTTTCTTCTAAACCGCTTCTTTGTTTCTCTATAGGATAATTGTCCCACCCTTCCCAACTCCGGCCAAGAAGACCACGACAAAGATGGCCTGGGCGATGAATGTGACCAGGATGATGACAACGATGGGATTCTGGATGATAGGGTTAGTTTGAATTGGAATCTGTTTTTAGCAAAAACCATTATTTTTTTCCACAAAGCCGACAGAGTAATCATGCTTCCTCTGGGATATAGGAATGCTTCACTTTTGTGTTCTTGATCATGCACCAAACAGTCCAATTGTAGGAGGGACAAAGTGTTATATTGTCCCAAAGCAAAGCCAAAATTGAGCATGGGGTGCCTTTTTGCCCATAATTTCTAGTGTGAGTAAATGTTGTGGAAAGAATGAATAGTGGCTGGAAACCTCTCTCACTTTCAGAGGAAAAAAAAGAAACTCTATACTTAACTAAACAAAGAACCCCTAAATATTTGAACATTTAAAACAGCAGCCTTATGTTTATATATTTTCTTTTTTTCTCAGGATAACTGCCCTAAAGTATACAACCCAGCCCAGTATGATGCAGACCGAGATGATGTTGGTGACAGCTGTGACAACTGCATATTTGAGGCCAACACCGACCAAACAGATACAGACAACAACGGGGAGGGAGACGCTTGTGCTGTTGACATTGATGGTGACGGTAAGTGCTATGGTCAGGATGTTATTTGCAACAATAAAAAAAAAAGCATCGTCTAACACGCATTTGATTTTATGTTCATTCAAGGCATCCTGAATGAGAACGATAACTGCCCATATGTGTATAATGTGGACCAGAGGGACACAGACAGGGACGGAGTGGGAGACCATTGTGACAACTGTCCGCTGGAACACAATCCTGATCAGGTAACAGCCATAGAACGGAGAATCTCACTCAGAGAATAGGGACGCATCGATTTGGCTTTTGAATGATTGGAGAGGAAGAAACCAAAAACAGCAGTTAAATTGTTACAAAATGTGTCCAGATGTGTTTTCACATTAATATCCTGGAAGAAAATAACGAACAACTATGTATGAGGAAAAGTCAACTATGGCATTCTGGACTTAATCCATACCCGATCCGACAGTATTTCCAATATTATTAAAAATATCTGATACTAATGTGAATAAAAGTAACGTGTCTGCCTCCAGGAACAGAAAGAGCTTCACAATGAGCTTTTCTTCTCAAATATTAATTAAAACAATTTCTGATCAGTAGCCACCTGTTAAAATGAGGCATAGCTTGCATACCAGCCAGCCTTCCATTGTAGAAGCGCTTATATTCAAAGTGATGAAAGATCCAGGGGCTTATTTGAAGTGAAGACAGGCTGTTGATGAGAATCCAAGTAACAGAGTCCTTCTTTGTGCAGATTGACTCTGACGCAGATCGCATTGGAGACAAATGTGACAACAACCAGGACATTGATGAAGATGGTCACCAGAACAATCTAGACAACTGCCCCTACATACCCAACGCAAACCAGGTCGACCACGACAAAGACGGCAAGGGCGACGCCTGTGACCATGACGACGATAACGACGGCATTCCTGATGACAAAGACAACTGTCGCCTGGCCTTTAACCCAGACCAACTGGACTCAGATAGTAAGTCACTTCCAACTTCTTACTAAAAGCTTGTATCTGAATTATCAATCACTGACGTGCTAATATATTCATTTAAACTCTTGCAGATGATGGCCGTGGAGATGTGTGTAAGGATGACTTTGACCAAGACAAAGTGCTGGACATTCATGACGTGTGTCCAGAAAACTTTGCCATCAGTGAAACAGACTTCCGCAGATTCCAGATGGTTCCTCTGGATCCTAAGGGCACCTCTCAAATCGACCCCAACTGGGTGGTGCGGCATCAGGGCAAAGAACTGGTCCAGACCGTCAACTGCGACCCTGGCATTGCTGTTGGTAAGCTAAAATGGATACTTCTGATTCTGATTCTGATTCTGATTATCATCATTTTAAAACTGGGATCATTCATTCACTTATCACTCTACTAACACATTATTCTTATTATTCCAGGCTTTGACGAGTTCAGTGCAGTAGATTTCAGTGGGACCTTCTTCGTCAACACAGACAGAGATGATGACTATGCTGGATTCGTATTTGGATATCAGTCCAGCTCAAGGTTCTATGCTGTCATGTGGAAACAGATTACACAGACATACTGGTCCCACACCCCCACCAGAGCACAGGGCTACTCTGGTCTGTCCATTAAAGTGATAAACTCCACCACTGGCCCTGGAGAGCACCTGAGGAACGCCCTGTGGCACACTGGAGACACCGCAGGACAGGTGAGCTCCTTTCCTCTCACTGATTATACAACACGGTGAACATAATATAATACAAAGCTAACCACATGGACTTTCCTCTCTCTCAGGTCCGCACCTTGTGGCATGACCCCAAGAACATTGGCTGGAAAGACTTCACTGCCTACAGATGGCACCTCATTCACAGACCCAAGTCTGGACTGATTAGGTATGTTTGCATCCTTTGTAATAAAAATGCATGTTCTATTTTGAATGTTTGTGATCTCACAACCATCTCCCATGTGCAGAGTGGTGATGTATGAGGGCAAGAGGATCATGGCTGACTCTGGAAACATCTATGATAAAACATATGCTGGAGGAAGACTAGGCCTGTACGTGTTCTCACAGGAGATGGTGTACTTCTCTGACCTCAAATATGAATGCAGAGGTAAGAAGGTTCAAGAGAATAACCGTAGATGATACATTTCTATGGAGGATACTAATTTGTTATTTTATCTTTTCCAGATTCTTAAATGGACAACAGTGCCTAAATGAATGTATTTGACATGTACATGACCTGGATCAACATCTCATCCAACTTTTCCAAAACTGCACTTGATGGAGACAAAAGAAAAGCAAGCGAGGTACTGTCACCTCAGGACTTCAAGCCAAAACCAAGTTAAAGATCTCCACCACAGACTATCACCTGAGTGCAGATGTATTCAGAAGAAACATGCCCTCTCCTCCCCTGATGGAGGGCCACATGTATTGCTTTGCACATGATATTCCGCTGTGGACGAGGGGACCAAAAGGAAAAGTTTTCCTTATTTTAAAAATGTAATTTGAAAGCAATAATTATCTGCTGTGGACTCATGAGAATGGGGAGCCAAAGCCCCCTGAAGGAACAGTTGAGGGACCGTGGACAGTATGAACTGTTGCTATTAGCGTACGTGTGATGTGCTGCGCTTGTGTGTGTGTGTGTGTGTGTGTGTGTGTTAGAGGACAATGAAGATTGAATTTGTAAAGTTCCCCACAAATATAAAGACCACTATGTGGTGACAGGGCTGGCCCAGAGCATTCTTCTCAGGAAAGAGCACTAGAAGAAGAGCACAAGATGAGGACAGCACAGGGCTCCTGAGCTGCTGCTTTATCGCCGCTTTGGACTTTTTGTGAGCAATATTTGTAAATCCTAACTGAACTAACTGTCAGGCAACATCCACAGGGGCCAGTCATCTTCCTGCCAACCAACCTTTTTAACAATATTTTTTTCTGCTTAAAGTTACTCACAGAATAACAAGTTGTGACACAGTGTATCTTAGTGACATCTCCCAACCCATGAGTTTGTGTGGCTGAGCGCGTGTGTACGTTCTGAAGGGAACCAGAGGAAACCCTAATGTACAAACATTACCTCATTTCTTTTGTATCCAGGCCAGCAATACTCAACAATCACTTGTCTAAATAGAATCAAATGGTTGGCTTCTTGACTTTAGCAAGACTTTAATATTGTTATGCTGTATATAAGATTTGTTTTGTAGCAAGAGAAGCCCGAGCTGGAAAGGAATTAAGAAGTGTACAGTCTATTGTTTTGTAAGTTTTTTTTTCTCCTGTGCATTTTTGATAACTTATTGTTTTATAATGGGTATTTCATATTTGTAGATATATGCTATTTAAGTAATTTATCTGGAAGCGTGGCCTGTTATGGACATGTTTCTGTCTGTATAAACATATTTGCACATTGACATGAGGATGTTTATCATTTTGTATGTGTTTTTTTTTTCTTTTGTATTAGTGATGCCTTTCTATTCTTCTAAGTCTTTTTCCCAACATGCTGTGTATACTCCAAATGAACAATAAACCCCCAAGAAATATTCATAGTTGTATGTATTTGTCGTCTCACTTCACTATCTATTGGGAGCATCCAAAAAAAAACAAATCCATGATGTATCAACAGGAGTAAGGGAGTTTATTTGAGAAGCAAAAGTCAAATAAAACTTGCTATAGCAGCTCAATCATACTTTTTCAAGACATATTACACAAGCATCCCACACCCATGGTTACTCTATTGTTTTTTTGTTTTTTTCACAAAAATAGTAATGGCACAAAATATCACGCAAAATATATATTTCAAAAAGCATAAAAAATGGATTACCAAACTTTGAAACTCACAAAACTAAATGTAATGAAATACATTACACTAATTTTCAAATGCTTAGTTCAGATACCAGCTTTCAATCTGCTCTCAGTTTGTAAAAGATAAAATGTTTTTTTCATAATATGTTGTGGTCTGATTTGGTTCAGACCAAAATGAGTAAAACATTACTCAAATAATTACCTCCAAAATGTGAATGAAATTTCAAAAAGGTTTGGCACTCCAGGAAGGATCGATAATTTTTTTTTTTTTTTTTTTACAATTCTAGGAAGAGTAATCTAACACAGCAGCTCCAAAAGCCAGACTGTCTGCTGCAGCTCTCTTTACATTAAAAGTGACCTCATTTTTACCATAGTGAGCTCACTATGTTTCCATTATCCCAAATGAGGAGCACGTCCTCCCAACATCGCCACATACATCCACTTGATTAGATTTGTAGAAGTCAACCCACTGTATAATAACTCAAAGAATATATATATTTGAAAAGAAAAAAACCTATCGGGACAAAGACCTCTATTGATTGGGTCGTGTGTTAGATTCTTGGCTGTCTGACTTCCTGATCTCTGCTGTGAAGATGGAATGTACAAAAAAAACCTTCAGATGGAGCCGGGGTCAGAGTGTGTAGGCGATGTGAGAAGTGAGGGGAGAGGGCCCATAGGTGTCAAAGGGTCCTGAGGTCACCCAGGTGCAGCTCCAAAAGACTTGTCTCTTCTCAGAGTTTCGAAGTTGTGTTGACAGCTCAGTCTAACGTCCATAAACAAATCAAAAAAATAAGGACCGCCCGAACCAGGACCATCAAGGGAGAATTGACTATTCATTGGAACTAGATATAATATGGCTTAAAAGGGACCTGGATTTCAGAAGTTTTAACTTTTCTGACCCACAATGAAGAGAAAACAGAATGAGTGGAATGCATTGAACTGGTTAAAGCTACCTGGATTGAGGTTACTGGGTCTGGACTTGTGCTACTGATGCATGTTTCTGAGTTCAAACATAACTCAGGGAAAGTCTGTGAAGTGCTTTTATGTGTGCAACAGAGCACTCTACAGTCACGAAGCACTGTTATTACATTTAATGGCAGCAATTTTCTTTTCTCATATTTGACTATTGGGTTAATGTGTTTCCTAAAATGCAGCCATAAATGCCCAAACGCTATTTCTGCAAAAGATCATGTATTTGGAGGTTGCTCGTCAGTTCTTTGAGATCTGATGCGTGGTAGAAAGGCAGATGAAACTCGGTCTGTGGTGCTGTCAGCGTGGAGAAAAGTCTGTGTCCGTATCCGTGTCCACGTCCACGTCTCTGGACCGGGTTTCAGCCAGTTCACACTCCTCCAGAAGACTTTGCAGCTGCCCCTCTGTCAGGCCCAAGTCCTCATCCTGCAACAAAGTCATGAACAGGTTCAGGTTCAGGGTAAATGCTACACGATTACAGCTGCCCTGAGGCTGAGCATGTCCAACCCTCAGCACTGAAATGAAAACGATCACGACAGTTGAAGTGACTTGCCCAAGGACACAACAACAGTTTTAGTAAACAAGTTCACCAGGACGTGTTTCACTGTGTTTCTAGAGTAAATTAACACATTTTGTTGTCCACGATCAAGACAAATGCACGATACTCGCTTGCTTTGTGAATGATCAGGATTATTTCAGATTAGCATGAGCACAAACTAGGGACTTATAGTTACATGGTGGCAAATTGGTCAACTCACATTCAGTCCTTTTTTGTGAAAGGGGTTTGAATTCCTGAGATGTGAACAGCCTCCTGTGAACTGACTAAACACATTTTCTGGATTTATAGAAAAATCCCATTTTACCTTACAAAATAAACATTTTGTCTGGTAGAAGCCAGAGCAGTATAAAATCGATCTGCCAAATAGCCACTGTTTTTTTTTCTCTTATTGTGCAGGAGAAAAAGAAACACATACAGACAAGCAGATGGGCCTCGGTTCGTAGGTAAATGTTTTATATGCCATAAAACATCTATCTATGAACCGAGACACATCTGCTTGTGAGTATGTGTGGAAGAATATGGTTAAAATAAGAAGAAAAACATTTTATCAATTCCGCTATACTTCCTTCACGAGGACAAGATGCATTTGGATTAAAACTTGATTTTTCCACATTAAAAACTTCTTACCATACTGTTGAGGGTATGTGCATTTCTTCAATAAAACACAAACTTATTTTCTAACTTATATAACTTTCAAACTACTTTTCTTAAAGTATTGATACTGTAGCCGTAGAGTCTCAGCTTGAAGTAATTAGTGAGAATGTTCAAAAAGTGTGACTTTATTGACTGATCTAAAGTAGACTTAGACAAACTTTATATATATTTAAGCACCGTAGCCCAGATAGACCACCTCTGTTAGAAGATGTTAGGTCTGAGCTACAGTGTCCAAATAATTTAAAATCTAATATTATTAACCATACTCATACAAAAAAATTATTAACATAAAATAGGTGTCAAATGGTTAAAAATGATAGACATGCAAGTATGATTACAGCATACACAACAGGACAAATCTGGACCCCTTACTGTAACGTGCCCAACAATACCGAGAAAGACAACTCAGCCAATCCTTTGGTGCGCTGACTGTAATAGAATAACGATACTATTAACAGAGTTAGTAATAGAAATCGTAAAGAGCAACATCAGAGCTAAAAAAAATCCACTTCTATTGGTTTTTCAAAAAAGAATGTACCGCAATTAAAGTTGTTCTCTCACTTCTTACTTCGGCTTGCTGGCTAAACACAAATCACATTCCTCTGCCCTCACTATCCCATGAGCTATTAGTAATCAAACATCATCCTTATTTAAGCAGACCACCCTGTACTATTGAATCACACCTTTTGGGTCACTAAAGCTGTCTTTTCATAAGCCACCTCACAAGAGCCCATTGTGAGCTATAGTTTATACTGAAGACAGCAAGTACCACATACATTCCTGCCCCACAGTCCCACCAAGACCAGGCAGGGTTAGTTAATAATATAATATTATTCAGAAGTGCAAAGGTAAACCAAAAAGTGGATCATGTTAAAAAGAAAAAAGAAAAATCTGTTATAATTTGTTATTTATATTTGAATGCATTTTTGTGCGTATTTTGTTTTATTTTAAGTTGAGGTAGTAATTGCAAAAAGTATTTGGAGTTTCTGGCGAATAAAAAAGTCCATCTCTGGTTTTGGTAATCCTCTTTGATTTGAATGTGACCACAATTTGTCTGGAAGCACCAGTGCTTTGACTGTCTATAAAAAGCGTGTTGCAGATTTTAAAGCCCTACTTGTGTTTAACCAGTACCAGGCTTCTCCCGCTGGAAGGTACAACTAAGTATTTCCAGTGAAAAAGCGTGAAAAGGAACATGTTAAACCAGCAGAAGGCTCTTTACTGCCTTAACACAACGCTGTGAGTCCTTCTAGTGGTTGACCTCAGCTGGTCTTAAAGCGGGCAGGCCAAAGGTGTCTGTGGGGGACTGATGTGTGTTTTTCTCCATGACTGTCTGTATGTGTCTTTGAAGATTGTCAAACAAAAGGGGAAAGTGTTCCAGCACCACCCATTCATTATAAAGAGCACGGATAGAAAGCTCCAGGAGACTGGTGTATTGGAAAAGACCAACATAATGACCCTTCTTCATGTACTAATGTTTCCAGAGATCTGTTCACATTTTGTATCGAGGTATTTTGACTTCACTTGCATTCAGCAAAAGTTCCTGTATGGAAAACTACACACGACTGTCTGTGTTGGCTGAAGGCACTAAAATAGAAGCAGTGAAATATAAATCAGGATTTTGCACTTGTCAGAGGAGAGTCACAGATCCATGAGCGACCAGTGCCCAGGACATGTCCACAGACATACATCTTTTGGCAAAAACATGTGAAATATAACTTGAAGGTGGAGAATCTACACATGCACTCCACTCTGAAGGTATCTATTGAAAAAAAAACTTGGTGGAAAGTGAGAGATTTATGGATAAATGGCCAATTCTGAACGTTGTTATATAACAGTGCTCAAAGGGGAAATTCTTATGTTTTTATTGCAATAAAAACAGTTATTGTTAAACTGCCAGTATTTCCTAGTGCTGCTGTGCAGATCTCATCACCTGCGGCCCAGACACAGCGGGTCTTGTGCAAGGTTTTCTCCTCTGAATTAGAGCCACACAAAGTCATGAAACCTGTTACTGCCTTCATTTGTGTGTGTGTGTGTGTGTGTGTGTCATTTGTTAGTTCACGATGATGTGATGTTTGCCTATAGGTTATATTCTTGCACCACACCCAACAGGTCAGTGAGGAATGAAGAAGACTTGGCTCAGTTTCCTTGTCTCTCAGTCTCCATGCAGCAGACAGCCCTGAGGACCACCATCCTGCTGCTTCTGTCAGCTCCTGTACACACACACACACACACACACACACACAGAGCTCCTCGGCTTTCAAGGTCACTGGCTCCAGCCACATACCTCCACTCTATCAATACGAAGCAGCCAGGGGCCAGCACTAATACAGGGAAGAATGCAGATTATCTCATCCACACGCACATGCAGCTGCAATGGAAGACGTAGGGCGTCCACGGTAAACAATGACCTCAATGTAAATATTATGGTAATTCAATAAAAGCACAGGATTTATGTTTGTTAACAGTAACTCACAACAATTTTGAGAAAGAAGCCAACCTCTCCTGGTTAGCCCATGGTCATACAAACAGGTCAGTTGAATGGATGTGAGATTTTACAAAGCAATAAAAATGGCCTGCTGCAGTCAAACCACAAATTGTCACCAATCTAATGTGATCTTTTAATTAATGACAATTGTGTTGCTGCCATGGCATTCAACAATAAGCCTTAGTTCCAAAACATGCCTTTCTGTGATCCAAACCACCACTTTACAGGGGCAGACACAGAGTTCAGTTCATGAGAGTTCAAAAAGTGCTGAGGCAACAATAACGGCTGGTCTTTGTGTAGGTCTAGTCTGACACTGAAAAGCAAATTTAAAATAAGAGATATTTTAAACTGGCTCTTTCATAGTTGTAACTGGATCTGAAAGGTATAGAAAGAAATTATTGAAAAAATTGTATTTTTAATTGTCCCCATATGAAGTGGGTCATCTGCCTTTGACCCATCTTAACAGTGGTCAAAGTTATCTAAACTTTCAAATTTTTCTACAGACACAGGTATACAAGTACTGCACTTGCAAAGGAAGGCTAAGTAAAACATCATACATATTTACACATTTCTTAATTAGATCTAGACTGATGAGTATTGTGTTGAATGATTATTGAAATTGACAGCTAATTTTATTTTTATTTTTTGATGAACGTAAAATCAAGGGTAGCAACTACCTAGCAACAGAGCTCGTATCTGCATAAACAAGCACATTATCAAATCAAAATGTGATCCAAGTAATGTGTATGTAATATGTATTTTACTAGTTCAGATAAATAAATAAAAACTTGAATATATATAAATAATTGTGTCTGTTTACACTTTAGCAGACATTTTATCAAAGTGTCTTGTTTAAGGTAATGTTAGGATAGCCCTTGGTAATGGTCGGGGAAAGCTGTTCTGCTAATTCACAGACACCTTGAGATGGACATGTATAAACACACTATCCAGATCTGCGCTTGTTGTTTTTGTGCTAGCATCTGAAATCCAGAGAAAAAGCAATGGCAGTGAAATAGGAAAATAAGGCCTGTGTGAGTCTCACTGAGAGGGAGGGCTGTTTGGATTGAGAGAATAGAGAAAGCCGGGATGACGCACAAAATTGCCGGTCTCAGAAGTGAGTCCAACACAATACTGCTGGTGTTTACATAAATCATTGCAAAAGGTAAATCAGGTAGATCGCTTGGAATAACACTGGGATTCTCACCGCAGCGCTCTGGAGTCAATCACGCGGGGAGTCAGCTGTCGCCCCATCTACGCAGGACACTAGCCTTCAAATATTTTCCGCCGTTACAATACATGTTATACTCTGACCACAGGCAGACTAAACACAGGGCTGTATACTTAACATTTAAAGGGGAATGTATTTGTTAAAGAATCCACTTAAGAAGCGCGTTTCCTCAAGTCACCCAACCCCTCCCCACTGGAATGAACTATATGTGTGTCTTTAAGCCTTGTTATGGCCAACCAGAAGACAGAAGAAGACAAATTTAACATAATATCAAATAATGCAAACAAAAAATTAGCAACACAGCACACTATGACATAAGTTTAAAAGGACAGGGCGCGATATGCATTCTAAAGTCTAATAAAGTCATTATAAATTGCAATCACACTTTTGTTGACAGAACCTTCCTGTAGCACTGAGCACAGATAACCGATTCAAACCACCTGCTGGGGTTTGCTAGAAAGTGACTGCGGACAAAAGTTGCAAAATGTGTGGGAATGATGAAGAGATCCTGTCATTTAATTAATACCAATGCGCTCATGTTATTATATCATTCTTTCATAATGTCATATCTGAATTATTGTGTTGAAGTGTGGGGATAAGGATAAGGATTGTGTCTAATGTTCACTACAGACATCCTTCTAATCCATTGTTCATCAAAACTAAACAACTTAAACTACATGACTTGGTTAGCCTAAGAACTGCTCAGATAATGTTCAGGGCATCTGAAAGCTCTCTGCCAGCAAACATATAAAACCTTTTTCATGATAGAGACGCCCATCATAGATACAGGCTTAGAGGAAACAAACAATTATATGTCCCTAAAGTGAGAACAACATTGAAATCAATGTGTGTCTCAATCAGAGGAGTGAAGATCTGGAATGATTTAACGGAAGCATTAAAATCATGCTCCAACATGACATTGAAGTTTAAAAAATACTTTAAAAAAGAATTACTGCAGAAATACGCAGAAGAGGGAGCATGATTCCCTGAGCAGTAGCTGAGCATTGAGCGAGTGGTGTGTGGTCGGAGAACGTCCGGGGCCAGTGTCTGAGTGAGTGAGTCTTGTCCTGTCTTGTACTGTCTTGTCCTGTCTTGTCCTGTCTTGTCCTGTCCTGTCCTGGTTGTCCTGTCTGGTTTTGTTGTGTGTTGTATCGCTACAGTATTGTATATGCTCTACTTTACCTGACCGGTGGGGGTAGTCCAAGGGGATATAGATTTGTTTTTTTGTTTTGTTTGTTTTGTTTTTGTGATTTTTTGTTTTTGCATTGTTGTTGCGTTGTAGAGAGTGTGTGAGAGGTGGTTGGATATAAATAAGCTTTTGCTTCTGCCAACCCCCTTTTCAAACCATGCATGTGCTTTACAAGATGAACCGTTGTAAAAAATGTTTGTGCAGGTTTTGAAATAAACTAATTGATTGATTGATTGACTTATTTTTGTATCTTTTCACATTTAAACAAATTTGCAATGCTATTTTGTTTCTGTGAATTTTGTTATCTGTAAAATTAAAACAATAAAACCAGCTAATTTTTGCCTAACAAATTGGCAACCTAAATTGACTTATTCTGGGCTTATTCTGCGCTCCGATTGGATAACCGGCTTGAAAATTGTGATGTTTTACACATACTTTCCTTTTAATTGGGCTGTAATGAAATACAATTTTAATAATCAATTAGTTCTGATCCCGAGAGCTCATTGAAAATGGGATTTTTTTATACATTTGACCTAACAAAGTCCAAGGAGTCCAGCTCAAGCTAATACTTTTTTATTTAATTCTGCAGACCTAAAATCTCTCCTCAGTCTAAGAAAGGTAAAATAAAAAGGGTTAATTAATTACTTCACTAGGCACTATTTTAATAATAGATTAGTTGCAAATAAACAATATGCTTGTTTCAGGCCTAAAGTTTAATAAAAGTCCAGGGCCTGGAGTACTGTAATTAAAAACTGACAGGGCATATGACAGCCTGGCATGTGTGCGATGGAAATAAGGGTGAAGCCAGGCCGCATGACGTCAAACCTACCTAACCTGACATTGTGCAGATTCATAAAAAAAAAAAAAAGGGAACCTGTGGAGAGAAGGCAATCAGAAGGAAATAAAAATGCAGCCACAAATAATCAGGCACGTGGTATGACCTCGCTGACCAACATGTGGCCATACGATTGGGAAGGATAGAAGTGTCTTGACTGGAAACATTCAATAAAAATACAGTAATACAAAAATACTTTTTTTTTTTACACAGATATTTAGCAGTGACTTTACTTAGCAAAAATTTAGAAAATTTCTGAAAATGAATATTATTATTCGTACTGGTATTGATGCATCCATAGTTTTATGAAGACAAAAAAACCTACAAAAGCTAAAGTAAAATAATATACAATATATGATAATACAGCAACTAAATATATACAGTATATAAAAATACAGCTTGCAAACAATATCAAAATGCAGTGTTTTGCGTTTTTTAAGACCCTATATATAAAAATACAGCAAATATTATTCCAGCTGCTGTGTCTGTTAGTGTGCATATACGGCACATTTATTTTTAGAAATGCACGCCCTTAAATCAAAGAAAAGTGTTTCGTCTTCATAATGTTCTCAGGATGAGTAGAAGACACTCGGTCATGTTTGAAGTGGTTCTGAAGCCACAGACAGCTCTTGACACTAACCCTGTCACACTGTGGTTGTGTGTGCTGATAAATCTGTCAACACATGCTAACCCCACTTCAATGTATATTCTTTCAGAAACAATGGCCTAATAAAAGAGTACACTAAAGATTTATATCCATGACATAGACAGTTATGTGTACAATTATTTGTTGCTTGTGACTTATTTTGTCTGTGTTCCAACCACAGATACTTCACTCAAACAATAAAGTCGGAGATTTGGCAAAAATGTATATAATGCATTGGTTTTATATCAAACTTTTTTTGAACACTCATAGACGCTTCACATGTCATTATTCATTCACTTAATACACAGTGATGATAAACCAATACTGTAGCCACAGCTGCCCTGGGGCACGCTGACCGAAGCCAGGCAATCAGTGTGTGTACCATCGGTCATGATGATTTACCCATTGACATTAACCACTAACACTAAATCACAAATTGTTACAATAACAATAGTAGGGGCACTTTCAAGTCTTTCTTTTTCCAGATACAGATGCACACAGAGCTGGTACTAGTGGGAAAGTAGAGCTCACTCCCACCTTGGGTCACATTCTTGTGTTGTGTCTTTAGCTACACTGATTGGAGTTGTAATTCTGCTTAGGCTCTTAAAGCAAGCTTTAAAGGTGTCTAGGAAACAGTGACCATCCGATCTCAAAGAAGAATTTTAGAAAGCAAAGAAACACTATTAACAACTACAGGCTTTTTTATCTGTGACCCTAACAGTAGCATAGCAGCATTGTTTTCTCAAAGGCAAACATTAAATTGGATTGGAATGACTTTACTGCCTGAAAAGAGAAATAACTCTGGGAACAAACGTGAAGTGTGATCTGCTGGGAGCTGGATCTAACACTGATGTAATGGTGCAGATGTGGAGGAGGAGAAGGAGCAGTGTTCTACTGTGGGAGACACGTGTCCAGGATGAAGGTCAGGTCTTACTAACACATTAGGCCCAATTCTCTTTTGTACCCCTACCTTTTCCCGTTAAAGGGAATGGCTAAAGGGACAAGGAACAAAATATGAGGCGATGCATAGAGCTTATTAAGGCACCTAACGTCAATATACCTAAACAATACTGTTTGTTTGTTAAAACAATATTATTCAATTGTTAAATAAAACCTTTACATTAAATCCAAAAACAAAAAGAGCAATTGGAAGAATTATTGTAACAACCATGATCACATTTCCAATACCTGAAATTATAACTTTTCTTACTTTTAGTGTCTGTATATTGGGTAAGGTTGACTTAGGGTCTGGTATGATTATTAGGCTATTATAGAATATGTACAAATAGTTGCAAAGTATAATGAAATGATAATAGTATAACCTATGCCATTTCTATAATATGCTGATATTATGTTGCATTACATTGTGATGACCAAAACAATACATAGTGTATGCTTAGTATTTGTCTAGTTCTAAATATTCTTCAATACATTATTATTTCCATATTGTCCTGGTAAAATATTCGTATTTTCCTGCTTCCCTCACACGAAACAAACATCCTATTGTACTGTAATAAAGCATTGTTTGAGTTTGTGGTTATAGACATGGGAAACGCTGCAGGTGTGATATGTGGTGTCCCTGAGCTCCACTGCTGCACACTCACAGTCACATCTTGGCCGTAGCTCAGCCTCTGCAGATGCTGTTGAATCTCCTGGAGTCGTCTCCTCTCCTTTATTTCCTCCAGGGCCTTCTCTCCTGGCAGCGAGTCCCCATCAGTCTCCGAGCCACCGTCCTGATGCACAACAGACACCACACTTCACACAAGAGGAAAACAACCATCATGTGTGGACTGAAGCAAACGCACTCTCCACTCCAATCAATGTCATGCTTCATCTCACTTAAAGAAGCATTTAAAACTTTCCAACATTTTTGAGATTTGTCATTGTTACTGGATGAACCTAAAAGCTTACCAGAGCCAATTGTCTGTTCCTGCTTTTGAAAATATTCTTGCCATATACACCAAAAGTAAAAAGAAACGTTGTGTATTGGACCAAAGAAAGTGCGTGGGGTTGCACATAAATCACACATTTATGGCATACACGTGCACTCAGTGGACTCAATAAACCAAAAGCTGCATCCAATGCAAACTCTGAAATTGGGTCAGAGAGAAATGTGAAAATTACTTGGTAAGTGCATCAATTGAAGCAGTAAATGGTGCTATTGTCTTTAGCCCTAGAGAGTTGCCTTGGACAATGCTGGAGCAATATACAAGCAATACTCAAATACAGAGGAACTTAGACCAACTTAGACCGGTCTTTATAATAATAATGGTTTTATGTATCAAAGATGCGTCACATGGTATGGTTTTTTTTTTTTTCTTACAACATTGTGATAAGCTGCCACTGTAGCCACAGCTGTACTAGAATAGACTGACAGAAGAGAGGCCCTTCCAACCACAACCTACCATTTGTAAGTAAATAACAGTAAAATTGGCACTTTGCTGACACAGCTGCCCCACTATGGCAACTGGTGTTCCCAAAAGTCTCCCATCACAATACTAACAAGGTTGTGTCCTGCTTAGCTGTCAAAATCTGTCAGGATCAGGCTTCCACACATAGATGGTGCCTGCATTCGGACTTGATACACATGTCAAAGTGTAAATGTTTTTGAATATGCTTGTACTTTGGGCTGTAATTAACAATTACTTTGATAACTGATTAGTTGTGCGATTATTACAGTGCCTTGCGAAAGTATTCGCCCCCCTTGAACCTTTCAACATTTCGCCACATTTCAGGCTTCAAACATAAAGATATAACATTTAAATTTGTGTCATGAATCAACAACAAGTGGAACAAAGTTTTTGGGATAATTTAAACTTTTTAAACAAATAAAAAACTGAAAAGTGGGGCGTGCAATATTATTCGGCCCCTTTACTTTCAGTGCAGCAAACTCACTCCAGAAGTTCAGTGAGGATCTTTGAATGATCCAATGTTGTCCTAAATGACTGATGATGATAAATAGAATGCACCTGTGTGTAATCAAGTCTCCGTATAAATGCACCTGCTCTTTGATAGTCTCAGGGTTCTGTTTAAAGCGCAGAGAGAACCATGAAGACAAAGGAACACACCGGGCAGGTCCGAGGTACTGTTGTGGAGAAGTTTAAAGCCGGATTTGGATACAAAAAGATTTCCCAAGCTTTAAACATCTCAAGGAGCACTGTGCAAGCAATTACATTGAAATGGAAGGAGTATCAGACCACTGCAAATCTACCAAGACCCGGCCGTCCCTCCAAACTTTCATCTCAAACAAGGAGAAGACTGATCAGAGATGCAGCCAAGAGGCCCATGATCACTCTGGATGAACTGCAGATAACTACAGCTGAGGTGGGAGAGTCTGTCCATAGGACAACAATCAGTCGTGCACTGCACACATCTGGCCTTTATGGAAGAGTGGCAAGAAGAAAGCCATTTCTCAAAGATATCCATAAAAAGTCTTGTTTAAAGTTTGCCACAAGCCACCTGGGAGACACACCAAACATGTGGAAGAAGGTGCTCTGGTCAGATGAAACCAAAATCGAACTTTTTGGCCACATTGCAAAACGATATGTTTGGCGTAAAAGCAACACAGCTCATCACCCTGAACACACCATCCCCACTGACAAACATGGTGGTGGCAGCATCATGGTTTGGGCCTGCTTTTCTTCAGCAGGGACAGGGAAGATGGCTAAAATTGATGGGAAGATGGATGGAGCCAAATACAGGACCATTCTGGAAGAAAACCTGTAGGAGTCAGCAAAAGACCTGAGACTGGGACGGAGATTTATCTTCCAACAGGACAATGATCCAAAACATAAAGCCAAATCTACAATGGAATGGTTCACAAATAGACGTATCCAGGTGTTAGAATGGCCAAATCAAAGTCCAGACCTGAATCCAATCGAGAATCTGTGGAAAGAGCTGAAGACTGCTGTTCACAAACGCTCTCCATCCAACCTCACTGAGCTCGAGCTGTTTTGCAAGGAAGAATGGGCAAGAATTCCAGTCTCTCGATGTGCAAAACTGATAGAGACAAACCCCAAGCGACTTGCAGCTGTAATTGCAGAAAAAGGTGGCGCTACAAAGTATTAGTGCAAGGGGGCCGAATAATATTGCACGCCCCATTTTTCAGTTTTTTATTTGTTAAAAAAGTTTAAATTATCCAATAAATTTTGTTCCACTTCACGATTGTGTCCCACTTGTTGTTGATTCTTGATAAAAAAATATAAATAATTTTTATATCTTTATGTTTGAAGCCTCAAATGTGGCGAAATGTTGAAAGGTTCAAGGGGGCCGAATACTTTCGCAAGGCACTGTATATTGAATAATCTAAAGCGATTCACACATGGAGAATAAAATGAGGCTGTTCTGGATTGATGCCACTCCAAAACAGCTTCAAGTGATGTTGGGCTAACAATTCCATGCCATTCTGTAATAATTGTTGCTCTGTCAGTGTCATAGTTTTAGTCCAGGTATAGTTAGGTAGGAAGAGATTACTAATTAGTTGACAACTATTTCAATAATCGATTGGTCGCAATAAATCAATGAACTTGTTGCAGTCCTGTCGTAAATTAAACTAATCTTGCCTTGACTTGTGCTGCAGCTTCATGTTTTTACCAACGGAAACGTACTGTACACGTCATCTTCCACATTGTTAGGTCAGGACTAGTGTGGTCTGGACATAATGCCATTGTGGTTGAGACTTCCATCCCTTTGGTTAGTCTGTGTGCCAGCAAGGCCAACGAGATCTAATAATGTTGAAATTTATGCTTTCTGTGTCAAATGTAGACATGTCATTACATGCCTTTGTGTAAGTTACAAGAGACAATGGAACATAAGCTTGACCGGACAGACCCACAGGATTCCAAATAGAAGGTCTGCTGCTCAGGCTAAGATGCATTTATGAAGACAATCTGTGGAGGCATTTTTGCACTCAAAGCTGTATTCACTTCATTTCAATTTGTCTTTTGTGCCTGTTGCTTTGCTCTTTACGTGTCAAAATACTATGATGAAGTAAATGCCTGGAACACATCCCTAAGGAGACGTCCAGGAGGCATCTGAATCGCATGTGTTTTTGTGAGGATTCAGTCAAAGCTGCACTACTTGGTGTGAGGTAGGAAAGATAGCACAGTAAATAATGTAAAGTTACGTGTACTCTGATATGCACTATGCACGGTGGCTGAGTGGACAGCACTCTCGCTTCTCAGAAAGAAGGTTATGGGTTCAAATCCTGGTCGAAATAGGGCTTTTCTAAGTTGTGTTTGCATGTTCTCCCAATGTTTCCTCCATGTGCTCCGGTGTCCCTGACTACTAAAAAAAATGGTGAATGAGTGTGTGTTTGTGAGTGCGAATGTGGGACAACCATGGATCTATTATAATAATGGCAACAACCGATGCAAATTAGCCAATGGCTACAATCCGCAGATGTGTGTTCATGAACATGCACTGTCCCAATCAAATAAACAATAAGATAAATATGTTCTATAAACTATATTGATAATTGTGCTGTAAAATGTTATAAGTTACACAATGAAAATGAATTAGTGACATTCCTTTGGGATTATTTTACTGGTTATTTGAATTTAAAAAATGTAAATGCTGCCAATCTGTGTGTGTGGATCTTGGGTGATGGGGGAAACTGGAGTGCCTGGAGGAAACCCTTCTATCCACCTTCTACTATTTAATTATCTCACCAACGCAGTGCTGCCCACAGTAGACGTCTCTGGGTTGTTCATTTTTCCACATTTGGTATACATTGAAGAAACATCTCATATATATTCCGATAATAACTTAAGCCCATTTACCTTCAACTGACATCATAGTTATTAATGATAGTGATGATAAAAATAATCGACATATTGACTGTCCTTCTTTATGGTGATGTCAAAAGTGCTGTGCAACCTCGTGTCCCATAATTTTTTTGAGTGTGTGTGGCCTGTTCTCTTCTTACCCTTGGCTCCTGGAGTGAAATAATGACAGCTTTCATGTTGAGTCTTTAAAGTGGTGGTGACTCGAGCCCCTCAGCTCAGACTCCAGAAAAGGCTAAATGCCAGGGCACAGGGGAACTAGACAATTATTGAGCAGTTCAGCCAAAACCCAACAAAAATAAAAATGAAAGTCTAACTTTACCACCATCCTAACACCACTAAATGTTCATTTGGAAATGTGACCTGGCCTACTTTTAGGACTTGTTGTTAAGAAGAATGTGATCATAAGTAGTTCATCAACAGTGCATTCTATATCTCACACATACAGTAGTTTCTCGTGCTGATCCTACACCTACATGATGACAGGTGCGCCTGGGTAAAACAGACCATTTGACCCAAATTTCAACATAAGGAAAAACAACATATTTCAAACATCTGGCTTCTAGAATAAACATGTACTTTCTTTATTTTGGTTATTCTGCAGCTACTCCCTGTAGTAGATCTCTTCTGAGCCAAATATGATTTCCAGGGAGCGCAATCAAAAGACATCATAAAGACATGCAACAAACAACCTTGAGTTGAGTGAAATCACAGGACTCTCTCCCAAGTGAAAATGCCAAGAATAATTCATGAGATACTACTGTCACACATATTTGTGGCATCGCAATGTCTCGTCTCGTATGCGACCGGCGAGATACTTGATTTTGTACTGTTTGAATATGAAGAAAGGTAGTGTATACCAGTGTTCCCCAAACTTTTCGAGTTTTTGCACACCTTTTTCATAGGACAAAATCACCAGCTGCTGAAACTGATGCAAAAATGTAATTTAA